CAGGCGGGAGGCCGGCGGGAGAGGAAGTCGGCGGAGCGGTGACTGCGCTACTCAGCTGTGTTCTCCCGCTCCAGGGCTCGACCTCCACCTCGCCTTCTCGCCCGCCCGAGGCCTCGCGAGTGAGTGAGTTCGCGGCCCTGGCACCCCGCTCTCCCGCGCCCCGGCTCCCTTCGTGAGCTGAGCCCAGGTCGGGGCACCCCGTCGCCCCTCTGCATACCCACGCCCTCGTAGGCCCCGGCCCAGACCCTGGCCCCGGGGTGGGGGAGATGGCCATTGCTAGGCGCGCGCCCTGCGGCGAGCGCACCGCCCGTCGCAGGCGAGGATCCCCACGGATGACCCCTTCTCTCGTCCGCCTGGGTTCCCTCCCTGGGCAAGTGGGGAGGGCTGGGACCCCCAGGTCCAGCCTCCGCTCCCTCCGGGGTCCGCCCGCTCTGGGGAGCCGGCGAGGGAGCGGAGCGGTCCGCGCGCGCGCAGCCCTGGCTTGAGAGGCCGGGAAGCCTTTGTTGATCTCTCCACGTGCGCCTCGGCATTTGCTGCTGGGTTGCGGGGGGAGGGCAACGCCAGGCCGCGATGGAAAGGGGACGCCTGGCTCCTGTCCACAGGCGTGCAGGGTGTGCAGGGAGGGACCAGGGTGAGAATTTGGGCACCCTCCGCCCCAAACCCTAGAGATGGGTAGGGAGGAGCTTAAGGTCACCAACCCTCTGTCAGCTGTACATCCGGCTCCCAAATCTGCACCTTGTAATTTGGTCTGGGCACCTTCCCGCCTCGCATGTTGCTGTGTAACTGTTAGGAGCCGCTGGTTAATTCACCAAGCCGCTGGCGGTGTCTGTTAGGATGGTGCCATGTTGCGTGTCATTGGCTGAATGGCCCAGTGATGGCTGGGGACCTGGCAAGAGGGCTGAGGCCCTCAGCCACCAAGCGGCCAGGCCGGCAGGGGCTCATTTACTCATTGATTCATTCATTCAGCAAATAGAACGGTGCCAGCCAGGGATAGGACGGTGGTAGGGAATCAGTGGCCCGCAGAACACGGTTAGGCACCTGTAACTTTAGAATCGGGGCGCAAGCCTGCGCCTGTGAGGTTTGCCTTCATCTAGCAGGAGCCCATGGGGACCCAACGTAGAGTCACCCAGCCCCAGGCAGCAGGGTAATCCATTCCAGAGGAAAATCCTGCCACCGACAGGTTAGCATGCCCTTCGGGGCAGCCTTATCGCCTTGCTCAAGCCCCCTTCTTGACGGCATCTCCTCCGGCCTCGCTTGGAAGAAGCTTCGGGAGAAGGATGTGGTTTTCCACATCCACATCCACCTTGTAGCTGGTGCCACAAGGGAGCGTGCTCTTGAGGGCCTGGGACTGTGCCATCTTAAGGCAGTCCCTGAGCCTGCAGGGCCCCTGTGTCCAAACCTGGGTGTCAGAGCAAAGTGGGAGCGGGGACAAGCCGGTGTTGGAATGTCCGTGGGCAGAGTTACTGGGCAAAAGACTCTTACTCAAGCAGCCTGCCATGCCCAGGAAAGGAATGATCACCAGCTTCAGGGAAGGTGTGGGGAGTGGCACTCAGCCCAGGCTGGGCTGGGAGAGTTGGGGTCCAGGGAGCAGGGCTTATGCAGCATGGTAGAGTCGGAAATTAAAAGTAGGCATCTTACCACTCCCTTGAGTACCCTGGGTGCTGGGCTGGGCTGAGCACTGTGGGAGCTGGAGAAGTGAGACCTAACTGTGATAGGTTGGGTGCAGGCTTTGCTGGTGTGGAGAGTGGTGGGATCGGGAGGAGGGATGCTGTTAGCTAGCTCTGTCCCAAGAGGTGGTGTCAGGGAATGGCAGAGGTGAGGTAGACTCCGAAGGATGACTAGGAGCTTGTCAGTAGAGAAGGTGCTAGGGCCAGAGGTGTGTGTAGGGAGTGCGGGACAAGGCGCCTCGGTGGGAAGGGCTAGTGTCTGCCCAGTCTAGGGAGGCCCACAGCCTTGGCTGACTTGGGGAGACCAGAGGGGTAAAGAGGCCACGGCTCCTGGAATCCAAGGATTCCAGCAGTTCTGGGAGGCGGAAGGATTGGCAACTGAGCTGACGTGCTAGTTCCGGGCGGTGGGGTTAATGCCTTGGTAGATGGCTCCTGTGGCCTTGGAAGCTGACGGGACCTAGCAGGATTGTGGAGTGTGTGTCTTGGTCACCCTAGAGCTGTGGCCACTGCAAGCACAGCAGCATGATTTGTTGGGTGTGAAGAGCAGTGGGAGGCCTGGAGTGCCCTCCCCGCCTCTAAATGGGGTGTTTGCAAAGCCCAAGGGGGCCTCCACAGCTTGGCCACACCCAGGCCAAAGCACCATCAGCAGGTCTGAAAAGACAGCTCATCCTAAGACCCAAGAGGAGATGGAGGATCAAGCCCAGCTTACTCCCCGCGTGCACACTGAACTGTTGTCTAGCCAACAGTAATCCAAGCCCGGGCTGTCACCTCCATTTTTCAGAAGGAGAAACTGAGGCATGGGACAATCGAGTAACTTGCCCGAAGTCACAACCCCAGGGAGTTAGACCCCAAAGTCCCAGTGGTAACCCTCGGGGAGGAGCAGAGAGCATGACCTTGGCCTTTATGTGGGCTTGCTAGTCCTAGGGAGGGAGACCCAGGTTAGAAAGTGGCCTTGCCAGCGGACCAGTGATGCACACAGGGATGGGGGGAGGATGCCACCTGGGGGGCAGTGCAAACAGGGTGGAGTTTGCCTCCCCCAGTTCCTCTTTGGCCCCTTCCTCCTTCCTCCCTGCCTGGGTTGGCCAGAACGGGGACCTTTCTGATGAAAGGCAAATGGGTCATCCATGAACGGCAAGGTGGCCGTTTCCAGCGGGGCCGCTGCCTTACGAATGGAATTCCTTGGTTGGCTTTGGGGGTGTTTGTCCAGGGTCCTTTTTTGTACAAGAAACCATCCACTTAGAAAACAAGGACGTGGTTTGTGTTAGTCTGGGTAGAGAAACAAATTCATAGAAACGTGTATGAGAGAAAGTTTTATATAAAGGCTAATCGTACATTAAGAAAGCATCCCAACCCAGTCCAGTCCAAGCTCCTAAGTCTGATATTAGCCCATATGTCTGATATCAGTCTCTAAAGTCCTCATGAGATTCACGAAGCATATGTACTATCGCTGAGTGCAGGACAGTCACAGGCCAGTGGGTAGAAAGTCTTTGGATCCAGTGGCGGCGTAAGCATCTCAGCGCAGGCCGGGGTCTCCGCGTGGTTGCTCCAGCACCCAGGGCTGCATCAGGGTAGGTTCATGTGGCTTCTCCTCAGGGATGTCTGGCAGGGAGTCAGCAGAGCGTCTCCAAGGGAGTGAGTCAAGAGAGATGTGTGTCTCCTGCCTCCAAGGAGGAAAATACAGGAGTTCCCAGAATTCTCAGGAGAAGGCCATGTCCACCCAGAGGCCTCATTGGCTTTCTCCGGATTGACAGGCTAGACTCCACCTCTCCACTCTTAGTCCTCAGATTGGCACCAGATTATGTAAGTACCACATGGTTCGTTTTAAACTGCTCTCTGCACTCCACAGAGGAAGCCCTGGTGACAGAGTTGGCCTGCTAACCGCAAAGTCAGCAGTTTGAAATCACCAGCCAGTTTCTCAGGAGAGACAGGAGGCTTTCTGTGCCCATAAAGAGTTAAAATCTCAGAAACTCATGGGGGCAGTTCTATCCAGCCCTGTAGGGTCACTGTGAGTCAGTGTTGACTCGCTGGCAGTGAGTTTGGGTTTTGGCTTATCAGAGGGGCTGATGGAGGTGAGTGAGGGGTGTGGCCTTTAAAAACCTTTTTTTTACATTTTATTGGGAGCTCTTACAGATATAACAATCCATAGTTCAATTAGATCAAGCATAATTGTACAATTACTGCCACCATCATTTTCAAAACATTTTTTTTCTTCTTGAACTCTATGATATCAGCTCCCCTTTATCCCCTTCTGCCCCCTTGCACACACACCCCAGGAACCCTTGTTATTATATATTGTTGTTGTTGTTTGCCGTATCTTCCACCACTCAATGTCTCCGTTCACCTACCAATCTGTTACTGGCTACACTTGAGTGGGGTTATACAGTCATTGTTCCCCCTTCTCCCTACTTCTTCCCGTACCCTCAGGGAGTCATTACTCCCATTACTATTTCTGAAGGGTTTATCTATCTTGAGTTTCATACATCAAACAATCTTAATTATACAAGTGAACGTACGTGGGTTTCACAAGATTAATGAGGTAAAACTAAGACCATAATAGTAAGGGGAGGAAATATTAAAGAACTAGAAGATAGGTGTTTTATCAGTGCTATAGTGCATCTTGGATATATCATCCCTTCCATGTGGCCTTTCTGTAAGGGACTGTCCAATTATCTTACAGGTGGGTTTTTGGTCTCCAAGTTGTCTACATTCCTTCACATCACTTTGAGAGGCGTGGCCTTTTGAAGGGAACATGTAGCTCACTGTGGCTGCTTGCCCTGGGATGTGTTCTCACACAGAGCACCTGTGGGTGCAGACGGACAAGGGCAAACCACGGGTTTGTAAGGCTGTAACTTTTCAAAGCAGGTCACCAGGACCATCTTGCAGTGCAATGCCCCTCTGGTGGCTGGTGGTCTAGTGCTTAGTTGTGTGCACCTTCCAGAGACTCCTTATCAGAATCAGTGATCAGAGTTAATGAAA